CGTTCCTGGAGCCTGGTCTGGGGAGGAGGGAGCTGTGACAGACACCGGGAGCCAGGCAGGGGGGACACAGATCTCCTCACAGCCTGGGCCCCAGCACCTGCCAAAGCCCCACTGGAGACAGGCAGCATTCCTTGTGGCATCCCTGGTTTTGCAGGGCAGGTTATTAAAGCACAAAGTCATCAATCTCTGCAAGGGAGCAGAGAGCCAGAGCTCTGGCCCTGCTGTGGGACGTGACCCGAAATGGTCTCGCATTCCCCTTGAAGGGCTGTCCCAGCCCCAAGCCCAGCTCTTCCCATCCCAGCTCTCCCCATCCTGGAGCTGGCTCAGGCACTGGCAGAGCAAGGACATCGCTTCTCTCCTCAGCCGTGGATTTTGAGGGCAGCAAAATGTTTGTTCTGTCAACACGTGCCTAATCCTCAACCAAAAGCCGATGAAAACGCCATGGGGGGGAAGGATGGGAATGAGCTGCCCTTTGAGACAAAGCCCTGGTGGTGACAGCCACAAGCCTGGTTGGGGGAACAGGAATCCTCTACCAGCACCCCAGTACCAGGAAGGGTGGGGGGATGGCTCCCCATGGAGCGGGGATGGGCTCCAGCTGCAGCCTGGCCCTGCCACAAACCCGAGCACAACCTCAGGCTCCCATGTAGGAGGTGCAGCAAACACGTCCTTGCTCTGCAGGGATTGCCTGGCCTCAGCAGCTCCTTTCCCTTGGAACTGCAGCCAGCAGGAGCAGGCAGCACATGGCAATGTCCCTGCAGCCACCCTGGGACTGTCCCTGTCCCCGCTGACACTGCCCCACACGAGCTGTGACACTGTCACCGGGCTCACGAACGTCACGAACAGGCTCACCTGAGGATTAGCATTTCCAGATGACCCATAAAACCTTTTTCCTGGCGGGATGAAACAACACTTTGTCCCGTGAGGCTCGTTTCCAGGCTGGCTGGGGCTGGGCTGAGCAAGCAGTGCTGCCCCTCACTGCCCACCCTGGGGCAGGCGCTGCACTCCACTCCAGCACCAGCCCTGCAAGCCCTGCACCCTTCACCCACAAGAAAAAAAAAAAAAGGGATAAAAAAAGGTACATTTAGCAGTTTCCATTTGTTTGCTCTTTAAATAATTGTTTCCTTATCGCTATTGATTTAGATCCCTTTAAAATTCTGACAAACCTGCTTCTCAGGCACCGTCACCTGCTTCCTCCCAGCCTGGTCCCCGCAGGCAAGGCAGAGCAGCTGAGCTCCTCCCCAGGAGGGTCCTCTGCTGGGGGAGGCACCTGCACACCGCCGAGCCCCCCTCACTGCCTCCTTGCTGAGATGGACAAACCAGGATGCTCCAGAGCTGTAGTTTAGGAGCTTGTCCTCCTGTGCCCATCCCACTGCAGACCATGGCATCAGGCACAGGTGCTTTGGGGCTGCTGCCACGTCCTGCTGAGCCTGGGAGGATTGGGATAGCAGGCAGGGGGCTCAGGAAGGAGATGACGTTACACCTTCACCACCCACCAGGGAGAGCTTTGAGTCCTGCGATGGGGAGCGAGGATGAGCCCAGGGCTGCCCAGGCCCCTTCTCCTGGGGTGGGTGAAGCGAGGGGCACTTGCCTGGAGGCTGGAAAGGCAGTGGCCGCAGTGATCATGACTGCCCAACCCCCTGCAGAATCCAGCCAAGCTCTGCTCTGGCCACCAACAACCCCAGTGAGTGCAGCACAGGGATACCGGGGCCAAGGCAGGGCAGGATGGGTTCAAGTGTCCCTTGAGCACAGCTCGGATGTTCCTGTGGCCTCCTGGGGCCTCTCTGCTGCCCAACACAGCAGTGCCAGTCCTCAGGCACCTTCACTGCCACCTACCAGAGGGTTCACTGCCCCGCTGGGCTCACAGGGGTGTGAGGGGCTCCAGTGCTACCCTGGGTCTAGGGCTTCACTGCTGCATGTTGACGTCATGGCCCAGCCTGCAGCTGTCAATTAATTGAGGAAACCCAGCCACAGTAAACAAGGAGGAGGGAAAAGGCAGCAGATTAGATAACAAGGAATGCGAGTTCTTGCTGTGTTTCCCCCTGGAAAGCCAGTGCTGCACAGACCCTGCTGAGCCGGGCTGCTCCACACCAGCAGCACAAGGGACTTGGCCCCAGGGCAGGCTGAAACCCCCATCCTGAGGGATGCTTTCCTAGGAAAGGGCCTGACTTAACCCCAGCCCTGAGATTTGAGGGTCTCTCCCTCCCTCCTGCAGAGCTGTGCATCGCCCTGGGGCTGGTGGTGGGAGCAGAGCACCCAGACCCCCTTTTCTCCACAGCAGACATCACCCTCCAAACTGGGACACAACACAGACCTCCTGCTGCACAGACCCTCATTCCCAGCCAGGGGGTCCTGCCCACGGTGTCCCTGCCCAGCAGCTCCAGCTCAGCAGCACCGCCCCAGCCTCACAGGGTGGTGACAGGCCAGGTGACAAGTGCCACCCCACTGCCCAGCCCAGCCAGGGCAGCAGCTGCTCCGGGAGTGCACTGGGACACGGCTCTCGCCTGCCTGGCTGCAGTCACCAGCAGGTCCAGGAGCCTGGAAAGCCACTGTCCCGCAGCCCCGAACAACCTCAGCTCCCTCTGCTGGCACCTGCCCCAGGCCGGGCTCATCCCCAGTACACCCTGTTCCAACACCCTCCACTGGCAACCCAAGCACCCAGGGCAGCCCCTCCAGCCTGGCCCAGCATCACCCTGTTCCCAGCACCAGCCCCTGGCAGCACATGGGGCTGCGGTTCTCGTGGTGTCCCCGCTCCCGGTGCAGCCTCCCGGGACACTGCCCTGCTCACTCCATGTGTACAGACGTGAAGAACAAATTGTTTTTCTCCCACTTTACATTACTGTGAAGGCGCCACTTCGGCAGGGAAGGATTAACCAAAAACATGGGAATACAACGCACGAGGCAGGTCTGGAGCCAGCCCAGCTCCAGCTGCTGCGCAGGGCCGAGCCCACACGTTCCACGGGGCAAACAGGGCTGGCCCGTGCCCGTGCGTGCCATCTGCCTCCTCCGAGGCTCCCTGAGAGCTTTTACTACTCGGCTGTTTTATCAGTGGGGTAGGAAACGTTCGAGATTAGATTTCCTTAAATAATTCCTGTGTAACTGGGTATTTTCCAGCACAGGTGCAGCGGCTGAAGGGCAGCTTATAGAGAGCTTCCACAGAAAGCTCACGTTCCCCTTGACCCTGCTCCCTCCCCACGGACCCCTGGCAGCAACTCCCCACTGGCTTGGCCTCATTTCCCCCTTGGCCTGTTAACATTCCCTTGTGCATCCCCAGGGATCTGCAGAGAAGCAGGAGCAGAGGGAAGGAGAGCACTGATCTTCCCTTGGCATCACACTGCACACCATGGGCTGCTGCCACAGGTAGAAGAGAGAAAAATGAGTAAAAATCACAAAACCCTGTCCTTTTCCTTTCTGCTGCTGTTCCAGTTGCTGATCCCAGATCAGTAGTGCCCACTGGAGCCTTCAGGCCCACACCTGCAGATGCGAGGACATTCAACAGTGCTGTGGATGTTCTGGAGCAGATCCTGCCCTTCCCTCCAGCCAGAGAGGCACAGGCTGAGTGGTCCTGGGCATTCAGCACACCCTCATCCATCCCACAGAGCAGGGAACAGCCTCCTGCTGACCGCCACATCTCTTCAGGGGCCAAAAAACCTACAGAAAACCAGACCTGTAACTTCCAGTGAACAACGATCTCGTTCCCCTAAAAACAAAGCAGCAGCAGAAGCACCCGAGCAGCTCCAGGTGCCTGCAGCGGCCGTGTGACTTGGCCTCCTGCCCAGGACAGCGCTGTGGGATGACCATGGCAATCCCGCCGGGTATTTGCCCGCTCAGGAGATACCATTGAAGGTGTGATGGGATTTTCCTGCACTGGCAACCTCTGACAGGTTGCAACCCTAAAAACAAACAGATTCTTTCAAGCAAACAAGAGTAAATGCAAAGCTGGGCAGCAGCAGGGGCGGGCAATCCTCCTCTACCCAAACAGAGCGACCTCGGGACGCCCACGAGCACCCAGAGCTCGAGGGGCGCGTTCTGCTCAGGGCACAAAACAAACACCCACAGGCATAGGTAGCAGGATGTCTGTTCCCAGTCAGGCTTTCAGTCAAGCTTAATGCCACATGAAAGCTCCAGGCATTTATTCAAATGGTAAAAGCAAACCCAGAACACACAGATTGAGGTTTCTCGCAGAGATTAGTAACAAACTCCCCGGTAAGCAAAGGAACGGCCTCAGCTGAGCTGCTCCATGGCCCAGTTTATCCAGGCAATTCTTGGGCAGGGTGCCCTGAGCAGCAAAGCTTTACCTGGGAACTCAGATCTACCCAAAATGACCACGCAGGATGCCCAGCAAAGCCAGACCTTCGTATGTCCCCATCCTATATACAGGAGCACCAGCTGCTCCCTTAGGGATTGTGAGAATACAAAAGCAGACTAAACTTCCTTCAGACTTCCTCTCCGGCCTTCCTGAGCAATTCAGGAGACAGCAGGTCTGATGCCTCTAGTCTGGGCTATCTGAAGTGTGAAGCATCACACGATCCTGCAGCAGGCTCCAAGGGAAGGGCTCAGGGAAGGGCTGGGATGCAGATCAGCCACACAAGGAGCATGTGGGGACGCAGCTGAGGCATCACTTTGTGTGGAGATCACCGAGACCATCCCACTCCTCCTCAGGAACTGCCATGGAGAAGTGACCTGACCTTGTCACAAGGGAATCCATGGCCAGGTTGGTGAACAGGCTGTGCTGGCACCTGGTGCAGCCCCAGAGGGATCCAGAGGCTGTAGGAGCCCCTCCCAACTCTATCCCCCTCACAACCACCCCCACAGCCTCTTCCCACCCTCGCCCCCACCTGGGGGCTGGATAGGTGGTCTGATAACCTCAATATGCACCGAATTTGGTTTGGTTTCACAGTGATTTGGGGTAAATCAGGGTTGGAGCTGGGTTTAAGGATGCTCAGTGTCTGGGGATGGAGCAAACTGGGTAAGTTTAACTACAAGGTGACAGACTCAGAAGTTTTGCAGCTTCAATAAAACTCTCAACAGCTACAGAGTATTTTTTTCTGTGTTAATTTAATCATACAAATATTCATTTATACATTAAGGAAAAAGCTTCCTTTATTTTCACCCCAATGTGCTATCAGGACTTCTCCCAGACTCAGAGAGGCAACACACCATCCCGTGCTGCACATGCACTGCCCCGGCGAGCACAGACAGGCTGGGAACCACCCACGCACTCACACACGGAAAAAATGAAACACAACAGAAACCCAGACGTGGGACAGCGTGCATTTCCCACCCACACCACTGCTCTGCCCCACTCCCAAACCCCGGCAGGGCCTGAATCCCACGCTCCCAAGGTGCGGGCAGCAGATTCCTGCTCCCTCACCCCCCTGCGGCACTGCCAGTTCGGGGCCAGTCCCAGGGACATCCTGCTCCAGTTTGCCAAGGCTGAGAGGTGCCACTGCTTGAGCTGTGTTAGTGATAGGGCCCAAGTGGCTCTCACTTGCCACAGGGACCCCCTCAGAGGCCATCAGAGATGTTCTGTATTATCCTTTTCCCTACGGGAACCTATACAACCTCAGTGTGCCAAGGTCACCTGGGCAGAGCTTTGCCATTCATCTCAAATCCCCACTTAAAAACTGGACACCTGAAAGTATGAGCAATCTGAGGTCTGGCTGCACCACGAGGCTCCAAGGAACCAGGAGATAAAACCACCTTTGGCCTCAGTGAAACAGTTTTTACTCTAGGAAAAACTCAGAGCTAGAACCACCCCTGACTGAAACATCCTTCCACTGCCACAGCCAGGGCCACAGCCCCGACCCCAGCGGGCCAGTGCTCCGTGGATCCCTCAGCAAAGGGGCAGAGTGGGACGGGAGCAGCAAGAGCTGCAGATCTCAGAGCAAGGTGGCTCTGGCCCTGCCTTTCCTCACACCCTGGAGAACGTGATCCTTGCCCCCAGGACAGCAGGGACTGCAAACACGCAAGAGGCAGAGAAACAGCCTGTGCAGAATGCAGGGGGCGCATGCAGGTTTGGCTTCTTCAAGACAAGGGCAATTCAGCCTGAGGAGGAGCACAGGAACACGAGTGTGGCAGCCATGGGAGGAGCACACGTGCCTGGGAGCAGAAAGCCAGGGCAGGGGTATCCCAGGGTCTCCCACTGACACCAGCCAAGGTCACAGCACCAGCTCTAACTCACAGACTCAGATCTCGATTTCCCCTCCCTTCTACTATGCAGCTGACACAAGGAGCCAATGAAGATAGGGAATCACCTCGTCACTTGAGCCAACCACAGTCTTCAGGGGTTCAGTGCCCTCAGAAGGGGAGCAGCAGTGCTGCAGGAGATGAGGCTGCAGATCATTCCCCAGCTCACCGCTCAAGGGGGTATCTAATCCAAGGCAAAATGTTGTTACAGGACAAAAACCAAGCACACAGAGCAGGGCAGCACCTTCTGCAGGTTCACTCTGATCCCAACACTCCCCCAGCTCCAGCAGCTGCCAGGGCAGAGCCAAGTGCCCACCAGACTGCAAGAGCAAGTGTCAGGCAGCCCAAACCCTGAAGTGCCACTCCTAAGCAGGTAATTTTTTATATTGTACTTGTTTCTCCCAGTAAACAGATTTTTGAAGGGAGATTTCAGGTAACTGTTATCTTTAACAACTGAACCTGTGAAACATAAACATCTATCACCCAATTCTTCCTCTGTTGGACACAAGGAACTCCCACTGTCCCCATGAGGTCCATCCATATGCATTCAGGTAATAGTACTTGGCAGCTGCAATGATGGATTCCCCCATTCAAAACCAACCTCTAAAACACAAACAGCCAAGAGTAGTGAGGGCAGAGCTGAACCTGCAACTCCAGCACTGGGAAACACTTTCAGTGGAAAGATCTGGAAGAAGGTAGTGGGAGCTTTGCATATTCCTCTATCTTTGGCAGATGGCTGTTCCAGCCTGGATTATTGGGGCAGGACAGCAGGGTTTGTGGGACAGCACTTCACAATAAACCCACCACAGCTCGAGGCTGAGCTCCCTCCCCTCACACCACACTTCCCAATCCAGAACTGGAGGAAAACACTGGAGGAACAGCAGAGCTACCCAAATCTTTTATGATCCCTCCCTTAACGCAAGCCCTGGAGAGCCCAGTCAACAAAGGCAGATGAAGATGAGGCAACAGAAGGACGCAGCTGGTGTTGCCAACTCCTGCTCTGAGCTCCAGAACATTTGGATCAGCCTCTAAGCTCACACCTCAGCACAGGAGAAACAAATGCAAACTTATGCTCTGCAAGAGAGAGAGGACACCCCAAATGGTAAGGACAGGACATCTGCAAAGCTTTGCAACTACCAGCAGGTGAATTACAGCTACAGAGACTCCCCTTGGCACACGGCGCTTGCGTGGTGGCTCTGAGCACAGCTACTGCACATCGAGAGTGAACAAAAAGGGATTTTAAACTGCTAACCACACAGGACAGCTGGGGAACTTGAATAAATTGGATTCCTATTAACATGGGTGTGTATTTGTGTACGTCATGTACAAGGGGAAGGGAGACAAGCCCTCCATGTCATCCCAGAAGTCCCAGAGTCTCCCTCTCCAACTCTGGTACCAAGACCTGGCCTCAGCGTAGTTCCCAACAACACACAGGACAACTTAACAGCAACACCCAAACCAAAAGGAAAAGAAGAATTAAAAGATTAAAAAGTCGGTAACTAAAACCAGCAGATGCCATTAAAAATGCAGTGCTGGGTGCAGCCCAAACCTGGCATTAAAAAGGCCTGGTAGGAGCACAGGCCCCAGGGGCGCCAGGCCAGCAAACCAGGACATTCTGGGAAAATGCACGCTGTCCCTTAGGAAAAAAATATCAACAAGAAACAAACAGAAATTAAACATTTGCTCAAACTACAACCGCTCTGTAGGCAAAATATTCTTTTTTAAAGATGGCTTTTAAATTTTCATTTTTAAACTTCTTTTTAAGCTACCTAATTATGTGTGAGGATGATTTCTAAAAACCCATAGTGTTGGTGTCTCTTCTTCCTCATAGCATTTACACCACTCTGAAATCCAGCAGTCACACATGCATACTCAGGTTTTGGATTTTCCTCTGGAAACATCTAGTCTTAAGTTACTGGGCTTTTGTTTTTTCTTCTTTATCCAGAACACGGAGGCAGAGAAGGGGGGTCCACGCTGTGTCTGTCTGCCACATGAACCCCCTCCCTTCCCCCAAAAGTCAGTTTTTTCTTAAATTCTCCTCTTGTCGATACCCGTTTTGTGTTTTTGTGTTTTAAGACTGTCCGAAGGGATAAGGACCGTGGAAACCCTGAAAGAAAGTTGGAGACACAATCAATTTCAACAGGCAAGGAACAGAAGGCTCTGTGCTCACCTCCAAATGCTGCCCAGCCCAGCCCAGGGCTTCCCCCCAAAGCAGCCCATCTCCCCCACTGTGCCTGTCCAGCCTCACAGACACTCCTGAACTCCTGCTCCTTCCAGGGATGGTTTCCTCAGAGAGGGCAAATGCCATCACTTACCTCTCTCAGATGGTTTTTAGGCCAAGGCCACAAAAATAACTTGTGTTTTCTACACCAAAATCCCCCACAGATGCTACAACAACTGCAGACCCAGCCCTTGCAGCCTCCCCAGTCTGTCCCAGAGACCACAGCAGTCACAGGGCTGGAACTGGGTAAGAGGCTATTTCAGAAAAAAAATGAAGATTTGGAAATCCACAATCCCACAACTGCCATTTGTGCTCTCTCAAGGTAACAATACACATTTGCCTTCAGTGAAATCAACCACAACATTTACCAAAAACCCAAAATGCTTCCTACAGAATCTATTTCCCTCCTTTACATCCTGAAGTGAGTCACCTAAATGTCAGATCTAGTCACAGGTCTCAAATTAACATGAACTCCTTTTGTAACTTCTATTGTTTGGATCAGCTATGCAGTGTTTCATCAGGAAGCAGAAGAAAGAACCACAGGCAGCACGAGATATCCCTCAGCTCACAGGAAGATGAAGTTTGTCAGTGATGAAGGTAACTCCCCCCCAAAACCCTCCTGTAAGACCTGACACACACTGTGGTCAGGAGGCAGATGAGGGAGAAAAGCTCGTTATATCTCATCATCAGAGTCAGGAAACCATTATGCAAATGCCTCTAAACACAGTCCAGCTCTCCACAGCACACAGGAGGGCAGCCAAGAGCCCAAAGAGCCAAAGCTGTCCCTGCTCAGGCTGCACGTGAAGCTCTGAGCAGTTTTCACCACTTTGCCTTTAACAGGGCAAATTCCAAGGGAAACTCCTTTCTCTGTACATTCTCCTACAGTTCCATAACCCCCTCCCTGCAGGAGCCAGGGCTTTGGAGCCACGAGTCTGAACACGGATGACACCAAAAAATCAATGTCACCAGCAAACCCCAGGCTGGAGAGCTCTGCTGCAGAGCTGCACTAGGAAGGAAGTGCCATGAGCAGTCTGTCATCTTACTACAGCTGGAGAGAAAAAGTTCATTCTTTGGGATATATCAGGTGGTAAATACAAGTGAGTGGTAAAATGAAGCAGCTCTCAGAATTCAACAAAGAGGAGGATGAGCAGACAATTAACCAGGACATCTCCTGAACTGTGTGGGAAGCATGAAAGACTGGGAGTGTGGAAATTGCTGTTTGCAGACAGAAATACATGCAAGTGATGGAAAAACAAACACGCTTCTACCCCAGGAATATGCTGCAGTCCCAGTTTGTAAAGCTTTTCAAAAGAGAACAGCCAGCAGATTCCAGCATGACAGTTCACCTCAGGAAGGAGACACTCCCACCAAAATCCAGACTGAGCTATCCAACATTTCTGAAAAATAGTCACTGAAATAGGGGGAAGGGGAGAAGGAGAGAAACATTAAGATAGTATGAACAATTGCACAAGGAAAGGACACAGAAGGAAAGCAATGCAGGAGCAGGATCCCAAGCAGTCTCACCTCACAGGGATTAAGGCATTGTACTTATTGCTCTGCAGAAGGAACACAGGATTTGCTGCTGATTTCCTGTACGGACACATTTGCCAGAATTTACTTTATCTCTGAACTACCTGTACACAAGGCTTTGTTTGAGGCACTGCCTGGCGAGCACTCGGGAGGGGTTTAACCACCACCTGCCCCTCTGCCAGGAACACCCAGGGTGCACCTCACCCTGTTACCCACCCCGTGTTACCCCACACGGGATGTTACAGGCAAAACTGCCCTGCCTTAATCAGGGGGTGCCACAAGCCCCTGCTCCCCCTGTTGGTGCACACAAGTGCTGGTCACCCAGCCCAGCAGAGCAGCTCCTTAGTGGGTTTGGACGGAGGGACCCTGTGAAGAGGCTAAGAACCCTGTCTGCAGGAAAACTCTCTGGATCTTCAGATACTGGTTCCTGTAGCACATAATTCAGCTCAGCTCCTCCTGACGTAAGGAATTTCACCAGGAAAAAGCCCCAAACGTTTTCTCTGGGGATTGCCACTCTTCACGGCACTTCACCTACCCAAGATTCATTATGCACATGAGAACACACAGAATCAATCACCACTTGTGTGTCTTTAAGCCCAGTGAGAGCTGGTTTAGCACAGACCCTGCACAGGCAGCCCCCCTCCCCTACACGCTCGGTCCCCTGCTCAGCCAGGCCCGAGCTCTGCAGAGCCAGTGCTCCATGACATTTATTCACTGCGCACAGAGTAAGGGTTTGGTACCACAGAACTTCAGTTACTGCTGCAGTGTAAATACCAAACCCTGGTATGACATTTTCAAGACTAATTATCCCCTCTATGCAGCATTTTACATCACAAACATGCAAAAATAATTCTGCAGACAATTGCAGTTTTTCCAAGTTGTTTCAATGGAAGGATTATTCCCACTATTTTTGGTGCATTCCCGTCTATTCTCCAAGTGGGATCACTGTCTTTATGAAAAGCTCAGCTGCAGCTTTGCAAATTCACTTTCAGTGCTTCCAGAATGTTCCTCAGAAGTAATTGCTCACTTGCTGGTGGGAGCACCAGGCTCTTCACACAGACCAGTGTGTGAGAACACAGGACCACGATTTTCCAAGAAAAGACTCTGCACAACAACTACTGGTATAAATTATCATTTGACTCGTGCATCTACAAGGGAGGGGAGATGTTTTGGGAAGTTAAAGCCTTTGTGAATACTGAGCTCTGTAAATGGAGTCACCTGTGCTGGGAACAAAGTAAGGGGTAAGTGAATCTTTCATAAACCATCACACACAGGCTTTCAGACAGCTTTTTTTATTTCACCTCTGTGACCGAGTCACCACCAATGCAGGTACACTTCCAGGGAAGGAGGTGGATGCACAGCAATACAAGAGTCTCCCAGAATACACTGACAGTGGCACAGCCCACACTGCCCAGCCCCGTCCCCTCAGGCCACTCCTGCCCCGCTGCTCCCACCTCTCTTACGTAAACCAGCACAAAAGAGAACAAAGCACCCAGCACTTGTGTTTTATTCCATGCATGCCGTGCAAACAGTGGCAGGGAGACCACCAGGAAGCTCAGAACCTGGTCAGAGCAGGCACAGGCAGGGCTGGTGCAGGTGCCCACAGGTGAGGAGGTGACAGGGCTCAGGTACCTCCCTGGGTTCCAGGCACAGCTCACTGATGTGCTGCTGGGCTGCAGTGGAGCAGAGTTCAGCTAAAATCAGACTGTTCGGCACTTCCCCCAGCCTGGAAGCATGGGGACAGTTGGGTATCATGGATGAGCTGACAGGCAGCACTCAAACACACCAGTCTCTCACCAGAGAAGCAAAGCAGCTCATGGCACTGCAGCCCAGGCTGCAGGTGCAGCTCCAAGTCCAGTATTCCCCCACTGTGTCCAAAGGAACGTGGCCACATGGTGACCAGCCCAGCGTGGAGCACACACACCACGAGGGAAGGAGCTGCTCTCCCCCATGGATGCAAATGTTTATGGGGCATTGTCCTCACCCACAAAGACAGCTTGAGACCAGTTTCCAGTGAAAAAAAAAATCTGTCTTAAAGTTTACACAGGCAAACCTGCAAATGGGAGGTCCTGGTTTAGGAGAAGCCTCTAGAAGCCACAGCAACGTTTAAGCACAGGGAGGGGAAGCCAGTTAAAGACTCCATGGACACAGGGTTGGTTTCCCCTTATGTACAAAAAGCTGCCAAGTACCACTGATTGAGCTCAGCTCCACACAGAATGGAGGAAGATGGGGAGCATAAACACAGTAGGAAAAGAGGCGTTCAGATTTTAATGCTCTGATCTCCAGTATATTTCTATTTCACTGGGGTCTGAAGAGCAGCACAAGCCAGGACCAGGGAAGCCAGGCACCATTTGCTGTGGTGGGGACAACACCCAGTGTCCTGTCTAGGCAAATCTTTGCAGAATCACAACTTCCATGTGCAGTTTTCTGCATGACACAGAGAGCAGTGACTCCTCAATTTATCTGGGCACCAGATTTAGATACAGATCTACGGATTTTTTATAGAGATAAGTACAATCTAAATGTCAGGATATGGCTATTCACTTCTGATCTATGCAGACATGGAAACCTGTACGTTTCTTCCCTCAGTTAAGCAATTAAGCTAATTCCCAGGCACTGTAAGACTGGATCTTGGGCTTTTAATGGAAAAGCCAGTCACAAGAGAGCAGCAGTGACTGTGCAGGGTTGCTATGAGACAGGAGGAGTAAATAGGAGGAAGCTGTATCAGCCTCAGCTCTGTGGAGAATCCAGAGAAAGTGACTGCCAGAGAATAAAACACCCGTGCATGGAGATATCTGGGATCCAACGCAGCTCATCCCTACTCCAAGAGAAGCATCCTATCCTGCACTTAAGCACATCTTTACATCTAAGAACATGCAAAAACCCCACTGGGAATGGGTTTCACAACATGCTTCAATCAAAGCCCAGACAGGCCCTGGCCTGCAGCCTCCCCACAGTGCATGTGGAAGGTAGGCAGGGGTCCCAGAAAGGTGCTCATCACAGCAGGAATAAAGGGCACCGTTTGTTTCAACCATCCACAGGTTTCATCTCATCCATTTGTATGGAGCTCTGTGTATGGTTTTGTTTGCTTTTCTGGTGCACTGAGCAGAGCACCCACACCTTGTACTCTCTGCTGCTGTATCAAAGCATTTTGAATGTTTCCAGGTGTGAAATGCTGCTGTACTTGTCTAACCCAGCAGCAGATGGCACGCCGACATCGCCAAGATCCCGACTCCAACAGGGAATTTTAGAGGACAAGCCACACCTGCTCAGTGCACCAGAGGGAGAACTAATTCCGACAAGGTCTGGCAACTTCTAGTATGTTTTACAGCTGCAGATGCCAGAAACTGCTCATCTTATCTCAAAGATTTCATGGTCTTGTGCACTGCATGACTGGGTTCCCCAACAGCCTCTCAGCAGAGGAATCCTCCATAGTGATCCAAGAAATATCTAAGGGCTTATTTTACTTGTAACTACAGGACACAGGCCCTTCTGAACACCTCACTAGACCTTACCCATCCCCTTTGCTACATGTCACCAAATGGCCTGTCAAATACAACTAGGGAGTCCCTCCATTCCCCGGATACAAAGGGGACAAAAATATCACATAAATGTCTGGGATGTCCAACTCCCTCAAACTTGTTCTCCACAGAACCAGAACTGTATCAATACGAATACTGGGTCAGTGGCAAAAGCCTCTGCCCTGGGCAGGATAGGCAAGGCTGCAACGGGACTGATCTTCAGACCTACCTGAATGGCCTCCAGAGGAGAAGCTACCTTGTTTTAGTATGTCACAAACAGAAACATTGCAGCAGAGACAAAAAAACCTCGAAAATCAATGAACTTTCACACACACCCAATCAAAAAGGACCATAAAACTATCCCTTCTGAAACAAGTAAACAAAACATCTGCTTTAATCTTGGGTAACCCACCTCAAAATCCACGCAAGAATATTCTGTAAATACAAAAAGAAAGAAACAAAAAACAACCCCAAAACAACAACAAAAAGGGGAGGAAAGGTCACCTGCCCTCCGTGTGGGGTTAGATTATGACTGCCCATGTCTTGCCAGAGCAAGGACCCTGAGCTCTGGGTTACCAGTTAACCAGCTCACTTCAATCTAGTGACACCTCCCAGGTGATGCTTCACTCTCTCCCACAGCACAGCTCTGGTTCCTCACCCCCACATCCTCAGTCAGCCCCAGCCCGGCCCCTCGGGAGCACCACGCCCCACCACGCAGCACTGCTAATTCAGGTGGTGTTCCACTGACAGGAGAATCATTTCCCAAGCCATCCCCTTCACTGTCAGTGAGCAGAGTCCTGCAGCAGGAGCCAGCCCAGCCATGGTTGGGGAGCAGAGCACAAGAGGGTGGCACGTTGGCACACAGCTCACCCCAGCCGTAAAAAGTGCACAGCCCTGGTGCAAAGGTCACTAAAACATGATCTACTGGCAGAGGACAGGCAGGTCATCCAGGGAGGAACTAAAGTGCTGTAGGTGAACTAACAGTAGGGTTTTATTAAGTCATTCAGCAACCAAGTGTTATTGTCCTACACAGCCTGCTCAAAGTACAGTAAAGCATTTTTAAAGGATTTTAAAAATCAAACTAGTTTGACATACGACAGTACACACCTACACATACTGCTGCATTAACAGGTGGATTCTGAATTGTAAATAATCCTGCAATTAATTTTTCACACACAAGCAAATAAAAACAGTCAAAATATCACTCAGACTCATATAGCATCCACCAAGCAAGCTTTTGAGAAAGGTTTAAAGTAAAGATAATTTAAAAGTCACCTACAATTATAAACAAGACAAGGACATAGACAGGAGCAGTCCTTTGATTGACTCCTGACAGGCAGCTTCTGGGATCAAATGATGAGCTCTCCCCATACCAGTTAAAAAGAAGTTATCTGTTTAATCTGAAGATTGGGGGTGTGGATATTTGTTCTCTGTTCAAAATTATGTCAAACTCAGGTCACATCTAGAGAGATATTTTGACTTATTTGCACACGCAACCGGAGCAGGCTCCAGCCACTTGCAGTTACAGGAGCCAAACAAGGTTATATAAATTTGAAGGACTTGAAGTGAAAACAAAAAGGTGGATCTGGTAGAGTCTATCAGAGGCAAAAATATTTTAATATAACATGAGGAGTTGGCAGAGTCAGACAGTCAAATTCAGAACCTTCCTTAGCAGGTCTGGCAGAAGCAGAAAGAAAGAGCTTTGCAGTTTGGAAGGAAGAGCAATTACACACCTGCCTGGTTCCTCCCCTACCCGTTCTCCTGCTCACCCAGGGCACCTACCTTACTGTACGTCACTACCGACAAGTTGTTCGAGTGACTGCTGGGGGAGAGATTTACAGAGTTTTGTGACAGTCCATTCTGATCTTGTTCGATTTGGTCAGGAGCAGGCCCCCATGTGTTTTTGCTGATTGTGCCTAGCTCGGAACCCCCAGGGTCTTTTAGGTTGTTTTCATCTGGTTGCCTGTTCTTCTGTGGAGAGGCGAACGGGTTAAAGTTTCCTTCTACCTTGCGATGCGGCTGCGTGTTGAACTCTGTTTCAAAGGATGACAGCTGCTGTGTGACACCCAGAAGTCCTCCAACTTCCACACTGAGGATCACCCAGATGACATCTGTGAAAGAAGAGACACATTTGGGCTGTCACTTAGATTGGAGTTTATGAAGAAGGGGCAGAAGGAGCAAAACAGGAATTCCATCCTTTACACCAGCAAGAACAAGACCAATAGTTTAAGGTACATTTTTATGAACCCTCAGCAATAGTGGTTCAGTGCCCCCAGTTTAGCAGGGCTGGGCCCAGTAGTTTGAATTTTAGAAGTGAATTAAGGGCAGTGGAATTGTAACCTTAGGGACACATGATTTGCTTAGGGACCCTTGCATCCTGCCAGGGCTGGGACCCCCAGCACAGTCCAGTGCCCCCAGTACACCCCCCAGTGCCCCCAGCACACCCCCCAGTGCCCCCAGCACACCCCCCAGTGCCCCCAGCACACCCCGCACAGCGCCGGTGCAGTGGAGCGGCCCCGCAGCGCCCTCTGCCGCCCACGCGGGGCCCCGCACGCCCCGTGTCCCGCTGTCCCCGTGTCCCGCTGTCCCCGTGTCCCGCTGTCCCCGCGCTGCCACCGCCGGGCACGACTCTCGGGCCCCCCCCAGCAACAAAGCCACGAGCTCGGCTGCAGGGGAAGAGCCCCTCGCACTCGGAGCTCGGCGGCCAAAGGGGTTCAATCTGCAGCTTGTCTTCTGCCAAAAGCGGCAACTTCAGGCTATGCAGGGACATGTCCCGCGGTCCAGGGTGCTCAGGAACCCTGCGAACACCTCGGCTTTGTGAGCACACAGGGTCAGACAGCTGGCTGCCAACACCTCTCGCCCAAACTCTGAAACTTGGGATACTCCCAACTGCCAGGAGAGATACAAAGATGTTCTCAGTGTAAACCAAAGCTGGCAGAAAAAGGCTGGAAGGCTGCACCAAAGGCAGATGTTGGAGGCCCAGGTTGAGGCAAAACATCAAAATGTGTTCTTTAAACAGAGAAATGGCTTGCAGGGGACACACTAAATCACTGCATTAAAACCTGGGCATGCACTTCTCACAGGAGGCTTTCACCACTAACAGATTTTATGCTTGTATGCAGTTCCCAGTGTTCAGCACTGGCAAGCGGGGAAAGAATCCTGACAAGGATCAACTGGGAAAGAGTCTCCAGGAGAGCTGTGCAAGTCCCTTTGTTTTCCAGTTTTGTGTAACCTGTAATTCGTTCCAGTGTTTAGAAAACAGTTCTGTGCTGACCAAGACAACAAAGCAGCTCCCTTGATGTTTTCTGCATTCCATGTTCTATATTTAGGCCGGGGTTGGCAGAGCTCTGCCCTCCTGCTCTGTTATCAGAGCACAGTGCAGGGCCAGTGGTGTCCGTGCTGTCTGCAGTGGGAATGCCAGGGAGAGCCTGGAGCGCTGGGAAAGGGCCCACTCACCTCCGTAGTAGAGTCCCGTGGCCGTGCACATCCGCCACTGTCCCTGGTACATCCCGGCGGCGCTGGGGCTGCACATCTGCACGCTGACATCGGCCATCTCCTGCGGCTCCAGGGACCTCACCATCACCATGTTCACGTGCCCAAACTGGTCGCCCCCAACATACTTCAGGCAAACCCCCGGGGGCCACGCCTCCGTCCCTGGGATTAGACACGAGAGGGAATTACTGACAGGGCACCAGGAAAAGCTTTGTCTGCTTGTGTAAGACGGGATGAAACATGCTTGTTACAAGAGTTGTGCAACTGTCAGACAGTCAAAGGAAACCAAGATACACAGGACACAGGAGCAGTGGATGCTGAGGAAGAATAAACAGAGTTTTCAGACCATATTTAACTGGTGCATTTAGGGACCAGCAGAACAATTGGTATTTCTATTTGACTAATTTCTAGGTCTTTGTTACACAGGAAAATTCTCCAAGTCCCAGTGTAACTGCTGCTGCTGCTGCTGCAAAAAAAAAAAAAATCCCCATAACTGACATACACGTCCCTTTCTGCAGAGACAGTGACAAGAGCAGCACCAGGGGGTGTTTGTGCATGTCCTCCATTCCTGCCTTCCTGCATGCAGCTCCTGAGTCACACCACATCAAATACCTGTTACTGATACAAAGTGTTGGCAACGCTTCCTTTCAGGGATTCTCTCCTTTCTAAGCCTGCTCGCAGTCTCAGGAGGAACTCATAGCTTGAGCTACAACTGAAGTGCCAGCACTATTTCCTAAATGGTTTTATTTCCCTCCTTGCACCATCCCTTTTCTCAGCCTTGTGCAAAGATGGGAAGGGCTGTGAACATATGATTTATCTGTGGAGATCCATGTTTAGACTGCAGACACTGGACTGACAGCGTGACCTGGCAATCAGAGAGATAGAAAACAGTTCCTGAGTGCAGGCACAGCCACCAAAGATAACAAGCGTCAGGGCAGACAGAAAGAAGAAGTGTTTCTGAGACTTGTGAAAAATCAATTTAGCAGAATTTTCTTTTGCTTCTTACCCAGTCACATGACCTGACCAAGACAACAACTTTGACAATAACTCCTGCTTGGCCAAGGTTGACAGAAATGGCAGTGGAAAGTCTGAACCACCACGGAGCTCGGAACTGCTCTGTGTGGTCCAGGGCGAGCACGGCAGAGCCTGCTCTGACCTCAGGTTACCCCAAGGAGTATCCTTTGCAACAGCTTGCCTGCTAATTTAATCCCTGTGGATACTTCAGCAAAAACATGGCAGGGACTGGTTTTCTTGTCAAGTCCTTGTCTGTGGAATTCACAGCCTCTCAGGGAAAGCAGGATGTGCATGAGTACAGGGGGATGTTCAGCATGACTGATGTACCAGCTGGAAAGGTGCTGAGAGAGGAGGGTTCTGAAAGAAGATCTGGGTGCCTGGATGACCTCAGCCTGGGGTGTGGGGCACTTGAGCACGAAGTCTCATCTGCAGAGGTTGGCAGCACAGCAACACAGTTTAGATTAAATAATTTATGTGATTTTTATCAGGTTTAATGGCTTTAGGCTTGCAAGGTGCCTAGAATGCTGCAACTGATAAGCCCCATAAAATGAAATTATGATTATGTCATTCTATTTCAGTACACTCATCTCTCAGGAGATGATAAATTGCAGTGAGTGTCCTGCAGAGCCAGCAGCAGCTGGAGGCAGAGTGTGGAGAGGAAGCCAGGTCGTTAAATCCTGCTGCCCTTTCAGCAATGGTTCCACTACACAAACTGCTCTTTTGGCAAACAAGGCAGCACCGCCCTGCAGGTACCAGAGCAGGGGCATTGGTTTTTAATGACACATGGGAGAATCAGCTGACATACCTCAAACTGCCAGTCTCTGAGCTCTGCCTGTCACAGTCATCAGAACCAGAACACCCCAGTGACATATCCTTCAGGTATTCCATGTGCTAGAGCTCAAGTCATGTAATCAAGGGCTCTTGAAGCGCTGCTGAAAACCTTGGCACTGCTTCAGTTACCTGCCTAACAAGCAGATATTATCTGGAAACACTACAGCCCTTTGATATTATACCTTAATTAACCCATAAAATGGTTTTCAAGTGCTGCAGTCCTCCTCACACTGCACAGTCACAGCCAGTGAGTGAAGCTGCACGCACTGCCCATGCCTCGGCAGCGTGGCTGCACCGAGCCCTGGCCTCCAGCACCACCCTTAGGGCACGCAGGGACAGCTCCACAAGCCAGGCTTTAACCCACACAGAAGCCAAAACAAATGCTGGCCTTGCCAGGAACTCCTAAGCCAAGATGAGTTCCCACCCCTCATTTTAGAAGGCCCACAGATTTCAGAAGGCCAAACATTCCAAGAACAATGAAACATCACTTGAACTGAGATGTTAAGGCTGAATCTGCATGAAGGAAAGAGCACATCAGAGGGATAAGAAAGGGAGGAGTCTGAGGGTCCAAGACAGGGGCATAGTCATAACACACACAAATTGAGATCCTAAGAGTGGAGAAACAAGACTTGCCACAATTACTAGATTTGTAAGACCTGTATTTGGGACAATTATAAAAACTGCCAATTTTTCACAGTATTGGAGTTTAAGCAATGTTCCACATGTCACCCTTTCATTGTACTGTCAAACAGAAGGAGGTAGAAAAAGTAAACTGGAATATTAAGTCCTTTCTGTAGGACACAGTCTCTATAAATCGGTGTTCTTAAACACCTCCATGTGGCATGGTGAAATACTCTTATATTTTTAGTGTGGTTTTAGTCTCTGTCAGACTTGGATATTCTGCCCAAGTCTCTACAACCAGAGAACTGCAGCTATTCCCAAGTAGAAATCCTGGGAGACCTGAACCTGACTTGTGATGACTCCCAGTGTCAGCCCTCAGTTTGTGACTGTTCTCCCTCACATAACTGCAAGCGGGAAATTAAATTCAGACACACATTTTAAATGTTTGTGCAACATCCTGTCAGTGCACTGCTTGAGGACAAGGGATTCCTTTGCATTCACGGGTCTCGATTTTCTCTCTGAGTGGATCCCAACAGATCAAGCACTGGGAATGCACTTTGCCCAGTCTCACTTCCTGGATCCCAGCCCCTGCTTTGACTTGTTTTGAACTGGAATGTGGTCTCTCCAGCCCTGCATCCTCTTGGAGTACGAAAAGGCAATTCCGTCAGAAATGTATTAAAAGCAAAGGGGACCTGTCATATGACCCTTGTGTCCCTGTCTTGTCTACAGGTTTCCTAGAGTTTGTTTTTGTGGTGGCATGAGGAACAAGACTGATGGCCTGACCGAGCTGCACATCCCACCACAGAATGTTTGTGTTAACCCAAGAAGGGGAACTTGCAGAGGTTGGCAGCATCTCCCTCAGCGACAGGGTGGCTCCAGCCCAGGTGAGTGCTCACGAGCCTCCTGCCTTGGGCCTCTCGCTGGACCTGTCATCCCACTCACAGCACCCACTGCACGGGGTTTGCTGCAGTCCAAAGGCCTCACCTGTGTTCTGTATCCTCCACGTCTTTGTAAACTGGGTATCAGGAGGGATGGACTCCCCTTCACCTATGGTGACATCTTCCACAAAGGACATCGAGGGGACATTGATATTTGGACTCTCGAAATCATAGTAGGCTCCGATGGCAGCTTGTAGATTCCTAGAAGGGAAAAAAGCACATTATAACCTGAAGTACAGGTGGGTCAGGCCCTTTGCACAGGTGCACATGTGTCATCCTGAACAGTTCAGCAAAAATACCCAGACTGTAATAGCTCTGCTGTTGCGTGTTTTTTAAACCTTTGATCTCTAGCACATAAGGATTCTGTAGTCCAGGATAACAGAGTTCAAAATACAGCATTCTTCCTTGCTAGGGATATTGTTTTAGACCACTTTTCTACTCTGCTTCTATTTTCACTGGAAATCTTGGAAGTTACAAGTCCTGGAGACCTCTACCCTGCCAGTTCTTTTTGAAGCTTGCTGAACAGTTCAGGAGGCACCGAGAGGAGAGCTGTGGAGGCAAACACAGGGCAGTTTCTTCCCACCAGCCTTGTTTCCTGAGCTAATTTCCAAAGGACCAAACATCTCCATTTTATTTTGGTACAGAAGGTCCAAAAGGAGCACAAGAGGAACAAAACACACAGAATGCTCTTCTGATAACTCTCAAGGCCAAAGGGCACTGATAGCTACAGATAATAACTCCGTTCCTGCTGCTTTTGAAACATATCATCAGGTAGGAACTATTTACTCATCATTAAAACGCCTGCTCATCTCTGGATAGTCACAACTCACAGGAACTTATAAACCACCTGTGTCAGAAGTTCCCATTGAATAAAGACAAATGACAGTGCAAGCCTGTAATATATTAAGGACATTCAAAAAGCCACAAATGTTATTGATTCCTGAGCTGTGGTGTAGTTGCAACTCCTGATAATTAATGTGAGAAGAGGAACAGTCAGGCAGGAAGAGGATTCATGAGCCTTAGCTCAGTTCCACGATATACTATTAAGTTATTACGTAAGTGTTTGGCAAGTCATGTAATTCCTCTGTTTATGCATGTCTGAGAGGTTGTGGCCCTAATTTACATGTTGTGAGTGGGTGTTGTGAGAATGGAGATGAGTAAAATCTCCCCAAACGCAATGGGCATAACAACTGCTTTTTATTCATGATTACAGAAATCTGTGTTGCCTTTTTGAGCAGGATAGAAAAAAAAAAACCCAAACCCTCAAGAACTGGGAACCACCACCTAAAGCAAAGCCCTGCAGAAGCTGCACTGTGTGGGCACAGTGACATATTGAGGGTCTGTACTGCGGTGGAGCGTCATGTGTCTGAGCCAGAGCCAGAAAGCCAAGGTGAAAGCAAGAGAAACATTTGCAGCATGACCCTGAGCAAGAGTAAACACAGGGCTTGTGGGGCTGCTTGCCAGCTGGAAAGAGGTTTCAAATGGTGAGTGAAGAAAACTGCCTCCTGTTCAATTCCTACACTGCTCATGGGAAAAACATTCAAATGGGACATTCTGGATAAAATCCCAACTGCAAGGGAGCAGTGTCACTGCTTTCTCCTCTCAGAAAACTCAGGGGACCTAAAGTGCAGCAGCTGATTGCACTGGAGCTGGGGTCAGAAGGGCAGAGCCTCGGTGGGGGCACTGGGAGAGGACCCAAAGAACCCCATAGTTTGGCAACCAGTCCATCACAGTGCCAGCAGACAATTGCTGTGTGAGGCACTGGAGTTCCTGATATCCTACTAAGGAGGCACCGGAGGAACGTCCTGCACAACATGGCCCAGGGATCGATCAGCAGTTCAGCAGCCCCAGCCCCACAGCCAGACCTTTGCCACCCACGCCGAGTGGACTTTGGTCTGACACGAGAGCCACCAGGTCCCACTGCTGAGGCCAGAACCCTGAATTCCAGACAGAAACCATTATTCAGCCTGAGGCGTTTTCTACTTAGGAGTGTCAGGGCTCTATTTAATCCCGCCAGCTCAGTCAAATGCTGCAGGAAGGGGCCATGTCACATTAGCCAGTAAACAGAGACAAATGCTCAGTTTTACGTCACCAACCGCCTGTTGCTTATACACTGCACAAGATTTACATAACTCACACCAGGGCTGTGCCAAGAGACTCCTGCTCGCTCACCCAGCTAACACCATGAGCTGCAGCTTAGTTTGCACTACGATTTCTTCCTGTAGTACAGCAATCCAAGGCAAAAGGTATTGTAGGAGCTACAAAAGACAGCAATGCAGCTCTTTCACTTCCTAATCCAGTACTACATAACTACATTTTCAGACACACCACAACATCTTGTGAGTGATGATTCTGGAATCAGTTGCACTAAGGTTTTATTGACACTGAGAGGAAAAAAAAAATCTCTGAGGGGCAGATTTCTACTGCAGTTCTGTGAGGCAGCCTCACTGTGTTTGTTTGCTTGGCTGCAAACAGGCTTCAGAAGGTAGTGGGCTATTTGTGCACACAGGCCTGGGGCCAGCGCTCCCCTCCCGGGGTCATATTTCAGTGCTCTTTGCCATTGGGAAACAACAACACTCATCTGCAGCATCGAGTTAAAAACTAACTAAAGAACAACGCATGCTGAAAAATAGATTTGCCACCATTTGTGATCAGCTATTCCCAAACCCACCTCCCCACTCCCACTGTGTGCTCTGTGAGGTGGGGGCTGTTTGGGGTGAGCCATTCTGCGTGTTCCAATGTCTACTGAACTCCCCACAAGAGAACTTCAAAGAAGCTTCCAGAAACTGAAGAGAAATTCACAGTGGTAAAAGCCAAAGTCAGGATGACAAAGCAAATCTGCCTTGAGTTCGCGTTGGTTGACACAGACAGCCCCGGGAGATAGGAGTGCAGCGGCAGCGGCCCCGCTCTGTGCCAGGGGTGCCCCCAGCTCACACCTCGGTCTGCTCCCTGCTCTGTCCCACTGGTTCCAAGAGACAGCGCTCTCCCTCCTCCCCTGCCCCAAACCCCCAGGATCAGCTGGAGGGCAGTGCTCTGGGGAAAATGCCATTTGCAGGGGCCAGGTCTGCCCTGGTTATGTGCAGGCAGCTGAGCCCAAGCAGCACACCATGCCACGGCATCAGTGGAGCTCACAACCAAATGTGACCTTAATGACAGAAATGGCTTAAGGGCAAACACACTTAAGGCCTCAAAACTTATTTACGCTTTAAAATACATATGATTTTTATTTTAATTTACCCTTGTGCCCAGCTGTAACTGTGCAGTCTCAACTGCAGACACTGCAGGGCCAGGCATGAGCAGGACGCGTTATCATCCAAAGGCTTCTGCTCACACAGCCCTGCCTGCTTGATTTTACTCCTCCTCAGTGTGACTTACACCACACTACTTACTCCCCCTCTGCTCTCTGCCAAAGGAGATAAATTACTATTATAAACCAAACAACTCTGCAAATGCAGCCAGTTTAATTGACATGACTGAGCTCTTCTAATTACAGGGGTGGCCACGCAGTTCTTTCTTAACAGGGCCCTTCAGGTCCCAGGCCTTTCTTACGCTTCCAAAATTAAGCAATTTTTCCATTTTTAGAGCAGTCCCAGGCCACAGCAGTGTGTAGCCCTGCCACACTTACAGAGCAGGTCTGACAGGATCCAGGCCCTAACTCCTGGGTAAAGCCTGCAGTCACAAGTCACCCCAGCAAGCAGGTGAGCCCAGGAATCAGCACCATGCTCAGTTTTAGTCCTAAGAGCGAGATTCCAAAAAGAGAGAGGGGAGGAGGCAGTAAATACAGGTTATAGCTCCGCATCATCACCCAAATCTACTCTACCTCTACTCCTTCCTCTCCAAGGGCATCCCATGACTCTTAGGTGTCAAGTATTTTTCCCACACAATACCAAAGTGTTCCTTTCCGGATCAGTTCTTTTGCTCTGCTGCTTCGTTTCAAGCCTCAGGAGCTAAATTACAATAGTCAAGTTAAAACCTTCTCTGCTAATAGCTCTGGAGATGTCCCTTAACAACTCTTAAGTGTTAGCAAAGAGGTGGCTCATCTTGAGTCCTTCTTTCCCTTCCCCGTTTTTTCCAGACAGCCTTTTGTTATGTTAAACCAATATATTTCGGCATTAATTACTCCTAATTAACCAGGTCACCATGGCAGTATTCAAAAATAAAAGAAACTCTTCCAAATCAGTTCACAAACTCGAGGCCTCCTTACACAGCTTCACTGTCCTGCAAACAACCACCAGCATACGGGTAAGTGGAAATGGTTTTTTAATTAATTGAATCAGAGTTTTTCCACGAGGATGAAGAAACCAAAGCACCAAGGCTACTGTGGCCTCATGGAAGGCACAGCATGTGCCCATACCTTCCTGCTCCCCAGAACACTGAGACTTTTTTCAGCATCAAGAAGGTCAGCACCTCAGAAAAAAAGCTGTACAACCAGGTGCTCCAAACATAGAAGACGAGGGACACTAGAATTTGAACTATAAATATTACAGGAATCTGAAAATTTTCATTTGTTGTCAAATTCTTTGATGAAAGAGCCAAAGATATGCCTTTTTTTAAGAAATAGATTGGGGGGGGGGAATTCAAATCACACAAAGCTCAAAATCCAGCTCACAAATGTCCCTCTTTGTGGCTCCTGCCCATGCCCACAGCACCCACCAGCTCCCAGAGAACACAACGGCCAGACTGCTCCATGTGGCACCAAGAGCTCCTTCCATGTGGAATTTCAGATGGGGTGCAGCCCTTAGATCACACCCAGCCAGCCAGCAGAGGACATTTCTTAGGCCGTGGAGAAGCACTGTGACACACAGGCACTGTAAGGAAGGTGCCAAGGGACACATCTGTCCCCGCGGAGGGAGGGAGGAGCCAGGCAGGTGCCGGGTTGGAGGTGTGTTCCCTGCGCTCTCTCCTGCAGTACTTTCATGAGCAAGGCAGCTCAGGTGATACCCCCGGAAAGAGGCAATGCAGACAGCGAGCAGTGCTAAACAGCACAGTAAAACCTCCAGCACAGAACACACGAGGTAGGACACCTCAGACTCCTTCTGTAACGCAAGCCTCAACCTTCATAGGCCTTTCCTCGCTCTCCAAATGTGCTGTGTAACCAGGCACCACAGCACCCCATCGGGTGTCTATTGTTAAAAAACAAAAAGAAATAGTGCAGCAGATGGATAATTTCTTACTCCTTAATAATGGAATATCTCTACATG